GCAAAGGAAATAAATTGAAGTTATTCAGACCCTCTTACGTCGTTACTTTAATCTCGCCCCGGAGTTAATTGCCTGATCCTTCACTTGAGGATTTAGTATCAAAGCAGGCTGAGGGTTCAAGTTAATCGGTACGTGTAAGTCACCATATAATTTTCCAGTTAATCTAGCTAGCTCTAGTTTTATAGGAGCCACAAAACTCTTAATTAAGAAATGGTGCAAGCTGGGGATCAAAAAGAGCTTTTGACTAGTTCTTTACATTCAAGGACTTGTGCTCTCTGAAGCGAAGGCACCTAGGCTGCCTCATTAGGTGAAGACGCTCGGAGGTAGCTAATTAATTACCTGCAATTCAATGCGTCTCAAGCTCCCGACAGAAAAAGGTATTAGGCTCGCCCGATTGTATTGGCTCTTTGGCCTTGCCGCCAGCCCCGGGGTCGAAACCAAGTAAACCCAAGAAGCCAGGACATCCATTGGAGGATCTAGCAACGAACATCACCTGTGACTTACCATCCCCCTGACCATGGCCTAACTAAATACCCTAATGCATATACAAGGCACAGGATGGCTTGTTATTTAGCCAGTCGGAAGCCCACCATAGCATAACCCTCCCCCCATACCACAAGTTCATGCGTGTCCGATATTTATATCAGCGGAGATACAAGTTCCCTGGCGGTTCCGGCTCCAATAGGCGTCTTGTCACCTACATTGTTTGCCCGAACAGGAAACTGGCCTGAGACGCCAGGAAGGCTGGGCAGAGCATGAAGCTAAGCGCCCGGAGTTGAGTATCCGCTTATGTATATTTGTTCATGCAAACACGGGATTGATTGTATCAGTTTCCATCATACGCGCCCGCCCCCAACACCAGCATGGAGGGAGAAAAGGGTATATATATATATCTAAAGGTGCTCTCACCACTCTCTGTTTCCTTGCACAGAACACAGTCAACTTCATCAAGACATCCAATTCTCCAAGAACTTCCACAAACAACATCAAGCTCAAGAGTTACATCCAGGTCACCATGCCCAAAACCCTTACGTTGGTCTGCTACAAGCAGTCCCGCTTCTTCCCTGAGAATACTGCGCACTGGGGGCTGTAAGTTTGAACCTTACTACATACCTTAGCGACAGCACAGGCACACAAGTTCAATGACTCTAACCTTAGTAGTCTTCTTCAGGAACAGGGCGCGAAAAGCGGCCGGCTTTTCCATGTTACTAAGGAATCGTACAGAACCGGAATGACCGTGTGTGCCCGCTATTGTTCCTATCAATTGTTCCAGTTGTTTGTTTTCGAATGCCATTTTTCTAATCAGGTTCCGCGGTATTGTGAGCCTTAGGACTACCGCCAAGATATGAATATTGTACCGACTTTTTCTGCTTCCCTTCGAGCCTCGGTTGAGGTGGCCTCCGGCCTCGACCTTGATGTCGACACCCTCGACCGTATATGCATTGAAGTCGCAAGAGGCCGCCGTTTCGATTTCGTCGTCAACAACTGCCAGAGGTTTTGCGCTCAAGTTCTGCAGCGCCTTGTTCAAAATGGAACAATCACTCAGGCCCAATTTGATGCACTCGCCACGAAAGGATTTCGCCCCTTAGTCTAAAAACGGGTCGGAGTCAAGGGCATGGTTGGGAGGCTTTAGTTAACTAGTGGAGAAGACCAAGTAGTTACCGGAACACGTTGGAGGAACTGGCACAACGAAGTAACTATATGTACATTAGTTATACTGAAGACGCCCTTTGAAAATCATTGCCCAAATGTCACCGTTCTCACCTGCGTATATTAGAGTATCACCGTATCCTCCTAGCTATGATACTACTCTGTTAACTTTCAAGTTAGCCCGAGGCTTAGTCGTGTCAAACCTCTCTTTTACTCTCCCTTCTTGCCATTTCTCACTTGTCTTCTGAAGACAGATAGATATAGAAAAAGGGGGTAGCAAATTTAGTATCAAGCACGGAGAAAGCCTTACTTGGCTAGAGATATATATACACAGAACAGGGTAGCGTTACTCCATACAGTTAGGAATGTGGAATGGAAACAGTGGCATTTCGGCAAGTCGGCGTTTTCATAATGTGGCATCCGAGAAATTGGGCGGTCGATAAGTCTATCCAAGACTGGTTGGCTCAAGGCTCACCACCTTCCCTGGCTTTGGGCGTGTGATGTAGATGAGATAGACTGAGTGAGTCTTCGTTTCCTTCGCAGCGACACCTCCTTCCTTCCGTTCTCGAATCACCTCGAGGGTAGCGGGTCTAAGAACTTCTTGAACCAACTGGGCCACTGACTCAACGCTTGATGGGTTCGAAACCATGGAGTTATCCCATCGCTTACGGATCTGTGCCGTAACATCTTCAAGGAAGCTGCCAGTAACAGTGCAGCCTCCAGCGGGGAGTGTAACTGTCCCGATCTGCTCACGGGTCGTCTCTCTAGAGCCGTCGCACCGAAATGTGGGAGAGTGGGAACTTATGCCAAAGCGTTCGACGTCTCCAGTCTCAGGATGAAGATGGAGAACATCGATGGTGCCATGGTCTTCGCCGACAGCGAGGATCACGGAAGGATTTCTCGGTTTGGTAAATGCATCTATGAAACGGGCAAACATATTGAGGAGTAAAGTTGATAGCAGCGAAAGAGTGATAAAACGTCGGTCCTTTAGCTTCTAAAGAGGCAGAGGAAAATGATTGTGTGGGAGATAACCATTTGTTAAATAGGTCGAGTGGCCCAGATGCCAGGAGTTGATGATAATATATAACTATTATTATTTCTAGTTAGCAGCGTCGACGTCTCCACACCGGCGCTTAGAACTCACTGGGCCAACCTTAACTAGTTAGTACATAAATGGCTAGGGTTATCACGTGGGAGTGAGTGGCTTTGGTTGGTTGGGTTGCAACAAACCTTTTCAGAGTCTCCTGCTACATCCGCCTATATCTATCCCGCACACAGAAACCGAGTGTTCTGTAAACAGCGACATCGATTGGATCATGACTCGGTTTGACCAGGAGAGGATGCAGAGACAGGAACAGGAGCAGGAAAAGATCCGTCAAGAGACATGGCCTACTCTGCACGGTATTCCGCAATTAACGGGACCAACTATACCATCAGCCGGGCGCCAATTCTTCTCTCCTTCTCCTTCCACTCTCCTCAAAATCGGTGCCGATGAAGGTGAAGACACCATGACCGTGCTAGGTCGCTCTATCGTAGGCCCTTCTGTCCCGCGTGTCGACTGCATTGTCACCATTCCCGCCCTGGAGGCACACTTAGAGCCGCAACAAGGCATCCTCATGTCTCGCCAGCCAGGCACTCCGCTTGTTGAGATCTGGCCAACACTCTCCCCTTCGCAGCGCAAGTCCATCAAGGAGGAGCTTTGCCGGATGCTTGTGCGTATGCGTATGCCCAAGTTCACCTATTATGGACGTCCTGGGCGCCATCCATACACTCTCCTTGGTGTATACAGCAAAGAGACGCACGCCTTCTGCGCTTCCCGCACAGAGTGGGACGAGTCACGGATCCAGGCATTGCGGGCCTCTGAAGCAGGCGCAGAACGTATAGCTGCCCTCGAGAAAGTGCAGCGTGATACCACTGGCACCCCAGGCTGGGATCGGCCTGTTCTCACGCATGGAGATGTATCTGACCGGAACATCCTTATAGACCCTGACACACTCGCGGTGACGGGATTTATAGACTGGGAGATAGCTAATATTATGCCAGCGTACTTTGAGTACGCATCTGCACGCCTGTCTGAAGGCCATGATCCCGAGTGGAGAGTCGAGCTGTTGGATGTGATGAGGTCCGTTTTGCGCCGCGAGTGTGAGGCTATCAGTACCGACAAGGGAGAGCAGTTGTATCAGAAGACATTATTGGCTTGGGATGCAATGGTTGATGTTGAGAGGTTTGCGCAGCATTATAACGATGACTGCTGTTGGACTTTTGAGACCGGTCTGCCTGTTTCACAGAAGACCGAATCCGCCTTGTAGTTCGTAGAGGCATAATGAACAAAATATCAAGAGTTGAGAAGAATTCAAAAATTCATTGGACTATATCAAGTATTATACGAGAGAAGAGGCTGAAATGTACCGCATCAACCGTAAGCGAAAAACCTTTGGTCAAAAACACAGACTCAACCATCTCAGAAACAGAGAAAACGGGAAGCGGGCAAGAAACGAGGCGAAGAAACAGGAAACCAGCAGACCAGAACCCATAAAACATAAAGCGAGCGGGATGGACATGAATATCGAATTGATTCCAAAGCAACTAAATATTGTACTCTGCAGACTCCGTGTACTAACGTATCGGGATAGGGAGGCGGCAGCAATAAGCATGAACAGGGAAAAGAAGTCGAAAGTATATGAATGAATGTGTGCGGCATATCAGAGAAAGCGGAGAAGAAGGGTAGAGTGGGGGAAGGGGTATCTTAATATGCAGGCATGAACAATAAACGAACGAATTAAGGCAACAAGGAAGCGGAACTCGGGTCGATTTGGGTTGCGGGAAGTAAAACAACTTAGGAAGCAAACCATGGATAAGATAGCAGAATAAAAAGGGAGAAGAAGCCGGGGAATTTGGAAGAAAGAATAAAAAGGAATAATACAAGTATGTATGAAGGGTAAAGAGAGAGATGAGACAGAAAAAAAAAAAAAAAAAAAACGAAAAACGAATAGCCAAAGTAGAGTGTCAAGACATGTAGATATAAAAGACAACCAAAACCAATTTACCAAATTGCACCTTAACGGATACCCCCGATCCCATTGCAGCTCCTTGCCTTTTCTAGTAAGTCCCGGGCCATGAACCGTGTGCTCCCTGCGGGCCTGCCTGGCCTTGTCCTTGTGGTCCTGTTGGTGACCAAGGTAGACTAGCGCCAGTGCCTGCGGATACAGCTGGCATCATGCCAGCACCACCGGCACTGACACCTCCAACGCCCATCCCGAAAGGTTGTTGTATCATGCCTGGGGAAGTGTACATTCTTGCCCCAGCGGCCGCACCTGGTCCTGCCATGGAATACGCGGCATTGACAACACCCGGATAGGCCATAGAATTCATTCCTGGCTGCTGTGGATGGGGTTGCGGTTGCGGCTGCAGTTGTGGAGAGGCAAGCTGCCGTTGGCCTGGCGATTGTGAGGGGTGATGTGGGTGGTGTTGGTTATGCAGGGGAGATGCATACTGTGGATGCTGCATTCCGAGCGATTGATGGTGTTGAGGTTGATGTTGTGTGTGTGACGGTGATTGTTGAGACGGATGGTGCTGCTGCTGTTGCTGATGTGGGAGTGGTTGCTGCGGCGGTGCTCCCCAGAACTGCTGCTGCGGGTATGTATATAGCGACGACTGAGATGAGACTGGGAGAGAGACAGGAGTGGAGGAGAGGGGAAGCGACATGGGATTGTTTGGAGAGCGGTGATGTCCTTGCTGCTGCTGCATGGTGCGAAGAGGAGGTGACATGGACGGTTGCTGGTGCTGGGGTTGCTGGTGGTGCTGGGGCTGCTGCTGCTGATGGTGAAGAGCAGGTGAGTATGATGTATGAGGTGTCATGACGGTCTGTGGCTGTTGCAGCATTGGTTGTGGCTGTAGGGAAGACATCATGCCGGAGGAGCTGAGTTGGGGGGATTGCAAATTCGTGTTGCTAAGTTGGCTGCCAGCAGTGGATGACGGAAGAGGTTGGACATTCGCATCTGATATTGGGATCTCGCGCGGTCTATTCCAGTGGTCTTCCAGGCCCTTTGCGCGGAAACTGCGCTGCTGGTTAAGTATCTTGCTAAACTCTGCCGTATGCGACGCCTGGTTAACAATATCGGCGGCAGCACTAGGGACGGAGCGGTCCTGGTAGGGTTGACCACCTAGGTCTTGCCTAGGGCGTGGAAGACTGCTGTATTCGCGAAGACGCGGATCGTCGGACGGGGCGGGGTTGATCATAGGTAGGGGAGCAAGTGAGGCGGGATGGGATAGCGTCGATGGCAGGCCGTGTGCATCGGTCGAGGTGTTGGTGTAGATAACATCGTTATGACCCAAAGAGGGTATGGCATTCATCGAAGCGGCAGCTTCGGCGGCGGCCGCTTCGCGTGCCTTTCCTGCTCCAGGACGCTTCTCGCCAGCCATGTCTTCTTCTGTAAATCCTTGTTTGATAGCCTTGCTTTCCCAGTAATCATCGCGCACGCGTCGACCGTTAACTATGACTCTACTGCCGAACTGGCGGAACATGGAACGAGCGGTAACTATGGCAATCTGGCGCGAGCGGTACGAGTACGGCAGGATGTCCTGCGCGATCAAATCGTCCTTTTCAGCCTGGTTGGCGATGATTTTGAATAGGGATCTATTCTTGTTGAAGAGGAGGTAAGAATCGCGGTAGCCTAGCACGCGCGCACACTCCGTAGCCAGCATGAAGAGCTTGTTGCCGCGATTTGCGAGGCGAAAGGTGCGACACTTGTAGGTGCGGGTATCCTGCAGATAACCTAGCCCGTCGACTTTCTTCTCGCCGTTGGCGTCAAACTCCTTGGGAATATACTCATCGCCATCTTCCCCTAGCTGGTCGGTCGTGTGGTCTCTGACTGTGGGCAGGGCTTTGAGAACGGACTTTGTCGGCGTAGCCTTGGGCGGAGACGACTGAAGGGCGATATCTGGGGCTATCCTGGGCGTCTGTAGGGGAGACTGCGAGGACGCCATGGCCGCTGCAGTTGGCGTTATCGTCGTAGCAACAATGGGCGTGTTGTTGCTGATACTGGTGTTGTTGCTGCTGATGTTGGCGTTTGTGCTGATGTTGTTATGGCTGGCGGTAATGGTGGTGGAGGTGCTCGGCGGGCGGGTGGCTTTTGGGGGTCGGCCTCTTTTGCGCCTACTGTCTGCGATAGATTGTTAGTAGGGCCGTATGCTAGAATTTGTTATTTTTTTTTTTTCTCCCTCTTCCTCCCTTCTCTTCCTTTCGCTTCTCGCTCTGGCACGCTTTCTGTTCTGCTCTTCTCTGCTGAAGTGGAGTTGCTACGCTAAGGTTTGGGTAGGCGACAAGGCGATTTCAAAGAAAATGAGGAAAAGTCGGACTTCAGCGAAGTCTTTCATCCACCCAAAGATTAAAACTCACCATCTTCGACATCTGGGTCGGCGAGCTGTTCGCCATACTGGTCTTCTGAACGGCTGCGCTTGATGCCGCGGGAGCCAGTCGCGTCCGCGGTGAGATCTGTAGCAAGCACAGTAGATGGAAGGGAGACTGCTGGGTCAGTATATTATCATGACCATCATAGCCGCTGTCGCCAACATCCGTCTGAACGGACAGCAAACACAAAGAGATCAAGGACGGGCAAGAGGATAAAACAACGTACTAGGAGAGTTGAGATCCGCGGGGTTGATAGTCCCGGAGTCGACGCGGTTGTTGCCCATGCCGCTGCCGCCGTTAACCTGGGCGGGCGCGGAGGTTGTATACATCTCGAGGGGGAACTGTGTGTTCACGATGGGCGGAGGGGGAGGAGGAAGAAAAGGGTGGGGAGGACGAGGGCGAATGGGATGATGGAGGAGATGATGGAAGGATAGAAGGTATGAGAGAGGATGACGAGAGGATGGATAGTAGTGGTGGAGGGCGCGTTTCTTTTTTTCTTTTTTGCTTCTTCCCTTCGACCCTTCTCTCGCTGTTGATGTCTTGTCTTTCCTTTCTGTGTCCTCTCTCAAGGGCGCCACAGTGATATCACAGCGAGGATGTACTAGGCATGTCTGGGCGTAGACGTTGGGATAACTCGCGAAAGATGCCGGCTCGGAGATGCTAGCCCAGCAGCGCGGAAGGGGGGATGGGGACAGGACAGTGGCGCAGTGTAAATTCGGCCAGGGAAACGTCTGTTAGTTGAAGAAGTTGCAGAAGGAAGAACAGGCGATGCAGGCAGCCGACGCTAGAGCAGGGATGGAGGAGGATGAGAGGTAGAGACGAGAGTCGACAAGACGAGGATCTTCCACCTGGGGAGCAAAGTATAGAGAGGAGCAAGGAAAAAGCAACGAGCACTGGGCTCGCTCATGATCGTGTAGGTGACTCTGCAGAAAGCGAAGGGAGCTGATGATGATGGTAGCTGCACAATAATAGTAGTAATAGACTTCTCCAGGGATGGCGCTGCTTCATCATAGGGTGGCCGTGGGTTGCTCCAGGACGTTTGTTGATAGGCTTTCGGAGGCTGGTCCGTATAAAAAGTAATGTATATATATTCGTTATTTAGACATCTCTTGTCTGAACTGGTTTTTGGCGAAGACGAAAAGGCTACAGGCTGGGCCTCTTGTTACTTTTAGCATGCGGCTCTGCTTAGCCACCAGCGTCGTCAGCGACTACTCCGGACAGGGAATTCCGTCTCTGATGATATGTAGAGGTGAGGACAGCACAGATGGTCGGTCAGAAAGAGTCAAAGCATCGTATCCATGGCGGAGATCCCATAGGAAGAGAGGAGCTTTTTCTGAGAAGGGCCCCCAAGTTGCAAGGATACGCCGGATAATAATAACCACCCACGCCGGTCATGGGATGCTCCTCAACTAGGGATCTGTACAAGGAAGAGGGAGTCGTCGAGATGTATCCTCTTGGACGATCGCGGGATCTGATCCGAGTCAGCTGAGATGCAAGACATGCATAAAACCTCATAGATATGGCTTTCTGCTTTGCGCTTTCTCTTCACTCTTATACTCCTGCTTGTTGGACCTTCTTTGGCTTGATAACTACTTAGTTATGCTGGACGCTGTCTCAGTGTGAATCAAACACTCTGCCCATCTGCCAGAAGACGGGATTATCAGTTCGCTGCATAGAATAAGGCAACAATGCCCAAGGTCTCATCTCTATGAGATTCTATACTCTGGACGAAGTACTCGAGCTGCGACTTTTGTCATACTTGCTTTTTGTGTCCGCCTGATGGTGAAGAAAAAAAAAAAAAAAAAACATCCGGACTGCGGTGAACATCGACGGCATTGCGTCGAGATGTGATGTTACCGTGCCATAGAGCTGAAGAGAAGCCAGAGGGACAAACGCCATCTTCAAGTTGCAGTTATTAGACACATCACATCCGATGTGACCAGTGCTGAGCCGTCTTCACTGATTGCCAGGGCTCTCGAGTCGGGGAATTTTTCCCTCGGAGCATTTCTTGAAGCCTTGTCCTATCTTGTCTTAATTCATTGTAGTTATCTTGCAACAGAAGAGCCGTTCCCTAGGCACGAAAGAGATAGACATGAGTACGGTTATCAAGCCACAGGTTCCAGAAAACTCACGAGTTCGTTTACTTAACTGGTTCGTTAGTTAAGATGGCCTGCTCATCAGGTTTGGCTGTACCACCTCCGCCATTCCTGTGCTGCTTTCAACCCCATCCGCTATATGATTAATGTTTGCTCCTGCGCCTCGCTCTGCTTCAGATGTCGACAAGACGCGTTCTGCTCTTCCTTGCTGGTCGTACATCCATCTCAGCCTCCCTGCTGCTGCTCCGTTGATCCGGACTAAGCAGCCAGCAGGTTGAACAGGCCAACGCACTTCGTTTAGCGAGCGTTCTTCTCTCTTCCGCCCGCCAGCCAGGCCAGGGATATGCCCTGCACGGCCATGATACACTCCATGAGACAAGCTGAAGACGAAGCAAAAAAGAAGTTGAAGTTGAAGCTGAAGTTGAAGCCGTGACGTTGAAATATAGATCTGGTCACGTGGAATTCCCTTTTTGGGCATTTGTTTACACTTTGATATATATATATATATA